CCCTACGATTGACTGTTATTTCCTATTTATTGAAAGCTCTAAAGAACCCTTTTAGAATAAAACAGTTTATATAGCTCTGCATCATCTTGTACAAACTTTACGCTTTGCTTCTCTGAAAAAAATTCCGGCCTCTCAAAAATAAGCATTCAAAACATAATAAAGGAACTACATCCGGCCAATAAAAAACACTGCAGGCTGCAGTGCAGGGCGAAACAAGAGTACTAGTCCTATTTGTATTTTTTTACGTAAGATTCTCCTAAATTTACGCTTTTGTTTCACTGGAGACAAAATATCTCGCCTCAGCGAATACCAGATTCTCTGAATTAAGGTGGTGATACAGGCGAGTTGCTACATGACTTAAGAAATTGGGAACAGCGCTCAAAAAAGACGAGGGCAACGAGAGTAGAACACAGGATAAGCACTGACTATCAACTGAAGTTTTATTAAAATTTGACTCAAACAAGAAAACACCACAAAGCCAACCAACGCCGAAACAACCAATGGCCGTGTCGCTCACCATGCCTCTATAAAATCAACCTCTTTTTTGGGAAGATAAACCGAAGGCTGGTTGACGCGGTGCCCCGAGCCAGCTTTTTCGATGGCATGCGCCTCTACCACCTCCCTTTTTACTTTTGTGCGAACACAGGCACTTCTCGTTGCCCTAAGCCTATTACTAATGCGATTAATATAAGTAAATCTTCTTGCTCACTGAAAGGATGGTGCAAGTCTTTGTTCGTCTGCCCTAAAGTATTTTGCTCTATCTTTATTTGTGTATTGTCTACAATACGCTCCCCGTGACTACCTTAGCTAATTAGTCTTAAACAATGAAATAATTCGGCGCAAACGAATATGTCTGATTTTGTCAGACGCTTTCTAACAAAATACAGTTGATATCACTCCCGCAGAGCGCACCTTCTTGTTCTTATTTTTTTGAGTACGTAGCAAGTTATTTTGGACACTCGTGTACCCTAAAAAATTATCTGCGAAATAATGGTGACATCACACATATTTATTTGTACGCTGAGATGAGTTCTCCCTCCACAGGCAATGTGACTTCGCCATTTGTTGATGAGACAATAGGCGGAAAAAAGCACGATGCAAAAAACGTGCGCGCCACCCTTTAAGAAACGCAATGAGAAGGTTCTTGAAAAAACCGTGTTATAAGTAATTTCTGGTGTATTTTTGTTTTGTGCATCTGAATATCACAAACATTTGTCGGGAGCGTACCAATAGACGCGAGAAAAACCGAAACATCAACCGCTGGATGTGACGTAACAACCAGAGGTTTCAAGCAACATCGCTTTTGCCTGCTGGGGTAAGGTTTCCGGAAGGCTCGGGTGTGTTGAAATCCCGGTATAGGGAGTATTTACTGACGGCCATAGCTGTGTGGGCGAATGCTGAGCGCGTGCGGATGGCCAGCTTCCAGAGTTATTTTGCAACGTGCATCCCGCACCATCAACAGTGCCGGTCTTAGCAGCCTCTTGATGTGAGCTCGTTCTGAGCATGCGCTCTAAACAGCACCCACAAGTATGGCGTCCAGTGAATACTCCCTATAGTACGCCACGATTTCGTCCTCACACCAAACGCGCCGGGAAGGAGGGGCTTTAGCGTTATTTCGAAAGCACTTTTGTGGCTACATGGTCTTGACATTCGCAATCCTCACGTATAAATCCGGTTACTGATCGTTCGAGAAGCGGCGCGTGTGGCTCATTGTGTTCAAACTCTCTGACTTCGAAAGGCCGCACACCCTGCTCTTTCCATTGCGGACGAATGTCACCCTGCGAACTTCGGAAGCTCTACTTTGTTTCACATTGAAAGTTTAAACACAAAACGCCAATCGAAAAACGCACGCAAATCGTGAACTTAAAAAATAATTCCACGGCCTTAAACAAAAAAAGAAAAGCTACGCGGGGATATTTGCAGTGAGGAATTCGCAAATATCCCGAACGAAAACATATACTTTCAGTCTTCGCGCAAAAAATACGCTCACATTTTTTTTTTTTTTTGCTTTTTTTTTTAGGAATAGCGCGGATGGTTTTTTTGCACATGTACATGCTTTTAGCATTTAGCCCGACCGCTGTCAACGTCTATACGATCCCCGATGGAGCCGTCCAAACAACGCCAAGAGTGTACCATCATGTCGCTCGTCGTCTTCACCCGTTTGCTATAGGCAACCTGCAATTCTGTTTGGTTTGGCGCTGTGGATCAAGCGACTGAAGCGAGAGACGCTGGATATGCGTGGGAGTGGCGTGGCGTGATTGGTTTAGCAGGTGATAGTAAACCCGTGAAAAAAACGAGTCTCTCGTATCATGTAGCGAACACCTCGGTCGCGGACTTCGAGGGAAACGGAGTATCGTGTTTTCGTGTACGTTGCAAATCCCAAAAACTATTTCGCACCTAGAAAAAAAAAATGCGTCTTTTGTGCGTTTTCTTTTTTTTTTTTTTTTTAAAAACATTTGAGCTCGATTGTTTCTGTCTTATAAATAATCCGGTTGCCACCCGGTGGTGTTGAAGCTTGTGGCGCCTTCTTATCCTGCCCATGCGCTTATCACGTGAACCCTTGTATTGCGTGAAACTATCGTGTCCTTTGGCATAGTGTAGGACCATCTACAAAGAAAAACTAACGTACAACTTTACGTCGCAAGGCAGCTTAAGAATACACTGAATCGCGCAGCGAGCCTGTGTTGTTGTTGTTGTTTTCAAAACTGGCAGCAACGTGCTAAAACAACCGCTGAAACTCAATGTACTATCGGGGAAAAATGAAATCCGAGCAGAGGAGCGCGTGGCTCGCGGTAGAGGCTGCGCCGCCTGGAAGTGAGCCTAGGTATAAGGGTGCGTGGCCTACTCCGATCTGTTTACGCCCTTCGCTCGGCGCTTCCCAAGGTTCGGCAGTGCGCCTCTTACCGCTCATTCACACTGGAAGCGGATCCGTGTTCACAAAGCGGTTGCGAACACGGTTGTATAAAGATCCAGTACAATTGCACGCGCACTTGATGTCATCGAGTGCGCGTGCAATTATACTGGATCTCTATACAACCACGTTCGCAACCGCTTTGCGAACCCGGATCCGCTTCCAGTGTGAATGAGCGGTTAGTTCGCTGAAAGTTATCACCGCGCTACCTTTGCTCGCTCGGCGCGTGCAGCCCGAGGATGCTCGCCGCTAGTAGCAGCTAAAGCGCGCGCTCAGCAGCGCGCGCTTTAGCTGCGACTAGCGGCGATAGCAAATGATGATAAAGATGTGATAGAGGCGGATAGACCGACTTCTGGCATACAGGATAAATATTTATTTTCTAAAAAGTGAAGGTAAGAGTTGAGCACCTAAGTATCATCACAACTGAGAAATGCCAACTCAAACCCCCACAGTAGAATCCAGAGAGTGGTGACACACATGCTGTGCCCTCAACGTATTGCTGATATGATTGTGAAGGAAAACACCTTTAGTATTTATTTTGCCTTTTTGCTTCCTCAGTTGTGCCAAGATTGCCGTGTCTTCAATCTTCCGCCAACGTCGACACGCATCACAATACGAACAGAATTAATTATCCAAAGGGGGCAACCTCACAACCGATACGTGGGGTATCTGATCACCTTTGCATACGATGCATACATACACCTATCACCTAGGAAGTTGCAGATTGGCCACTCATATTAATGTAACAATCACAAGTTAAGACAGCGTGCAATGGCAGTGAGATATTGCAATTGATACGAGCTAACTTTTACACCTTTCGAATAAAGAAAACGTGTTAGCACGTTAAACAGTTGAGTTCAGGATGATTAGATAAACGCGCTTTCATCGGCTTCGTTCAGACCCCTTCAGACCCGCTGAAAAAGCAGAAAGTTCCCATGACTCAAAACTTTAGTCCGAAATCAATATCAGTGTCAGTTAAGGACACGCAGACTGTGTTGACTCCCGAGTATCTAATTACAAATCCGCAGCCAATGAGAATGAAGCGTCGGCCGCTTAAAAGTCACGACTCGTGTTTTTTAAGCTTTACGTATTTATAGTGCTCCCAGCCGTCGTTGATAAACGGCACGCGTTGCCGTTTTAAGTCTCGTGGCAGCATGAAGGCAGACAAAATGTAGTATTGCACCGTAAACATTTCTAATGCTTCTTTTTTATTACGCAAGGTTAAGGTTAGACGGATCGTAATATTGTGCTCATGCTGACGAGTCTATTTTTATCCATTTTTAAGGCGCACTTCTCGGCACTTTGTAGCTTCTACTTTTATTTATTTATTTGCGATTACCCCGCAACGCTTGGAGGCATTCTTGCAAAGGGGTGGGGGGGGGGGGGGGGGAGTGAGAGTACTATTACATCAGTCATGATCATGTTGATACACTCACAAGGAAGAAAAAGGTCGCATATCACAGGACAAGCATTCGCTGATGTACACCCTTTAAACAATTGCATAGGCTGATGCCGCTGTATCAAAGTTTAAAAAAAAATTGAAGGGCTATAATGGCCCTGTTTAAAATTCCACTAGGCGAAATCAAAAACCGCAAGTTTTTATGTTTATTTAAGGCGCGGGATCCAGCACAAAAGATCAGCTAAAATTTGACACAAACTGGAACATTCCTTGAAGGGCCTTTTTTAAAGGGCATGGTTGGAGAAAGAAATGACGATGCATAAATACGTTTGTGCTCAGCCTTAGAGACCTGTTTGCATAGAGCGCAAGGATATAGACGGTTTAAACACGCGCCTGGTTTAGCCGGCATTGCCGACCTTCTCTTGTCTTACCGAGAGGACGAGCCACTGAAGTGAGCGTTGACGAGCCTCAACAAGGGCCTATGCTGAGGAAGACAAAGTAGAATCTAAAGTGGCAATGACCTGCTGTGCTCTGATCATGATGAAGTGAAGTAAACGGTAATAAGAGGAAACAAAAATTTAAGGTCGGTTATGGCGGCGCCCATGTAAAGCTGCTGCAAAGCGCCTATAGTGCATGTACGTGAAAAACAAGTAAAATAAATGAAAAAAAAAACTTCTAAATTTGATATTGTTAAGATCGGCCCCCAGCCACTTCTACCGCGGCTCCAGTCATGTACGAGCTCTCGGGCGAGCAGAGAAAAGCGACGACATCGGCGACCTCTCGGGGCTGGGCGGCACGTCCGAGAGGAACTTGGGCCACAATCATCTCCCTTTGCTCCTCGGTTATCCTGCTTGTTACCGGGGTGTTGGCGGTGAACCCTGGCAGCACAGCGTTGCACCGGATTCTCTTGTCGGCAAGATCCAGGGCCACAGACCTGGTGAGGCCAACGATGCCGGCCTTGGAGGCGACGTAGCTGCTGAATCCTTTTGGAGCCGTCTTGGCGACAATACTGGCTATGTTGACCACGACCCCATCGGTCACCCCTCCGGCTAGCATATCTCGAACTGCAGCTTGGGTCATCAGGAATGTGCCCTGGTAGATAAGCAAACTACTTAAAAACATGTTGGAGAATAAAAGTCAAGGTGACTATAATAGTTGTTTAAAGCATGATTTGAATCTGGATTCAAATCGTACCGATTTGTCTGTGATAACTTAAATCAGTAACTTTTCCTTAAACCAATACTCGACAATACTCGAAATATTTTACTTTTAACGTTTGTCTATTTGTGCCTGATTTCCACGGGCCTTTAATTTTTATTTAAAGCAAAGAATGATCAACTAGGAAATATTTATATTAGGCAGCAACCAATAAACTTATCTAGTGAAAAACACGTCCCTCATTTCTAGCTGGAGATTTTTAAAGAATGTAAGTTCGACTTAAAACAAATTAATCTGTTTTAAATCAAATAATTATGATTTCCATGTTGTTTTTTATTTTCAAAAACTTTTGTTTTTTTAGCCTACTCAGAAAAGAGTACACGGTACTCCACTAATTCTGATTCTCGAGGGTAATTTCAATCAGTTAATCGAGGTAACCTTGTAGGCCTTCACCAAGGCAAAACCAGAATCTCATAGTTTCATCACTGCCTAGACAATTAATTCACTGTTTTACATCAATTTGCCTGATTATGAACCACGCAGAACCCTGCCCTCCCTTGAATTGTTTATTATTTTATTTTATCTGTCAGCAGAGCCAAAGCACTCTTCCTATTTTTTTCTGAGTATTCTCGACATTCCAGCGTCACCTTATTAAAACAGAAAGCGGACCTCCCATAACTGGCCTTAAGACGCAAGCTTTCTGGCTGATGCCTTTTTCGTCGCATTTATTATGCACCATCGCTCAGCCGAGGCACCCTAACACCGTCGCATATCATTACACCTCGTCTTAATCACTCATGTAAGAATGACCGTTTCACCTGCCGCACTTCTTTTTTATATTCCTTCTTTCCCAAAACAGCGGTATGGTGGAATGATCTAACAGAGCGCATCGTCACCGAGATTAACTTTGATGGTTTTCAATTACTTATGAGACTCCATTTAGTTATTGTATGATTTACGATGTCTTGTATGTCTGCACTACTGTGCAAGATTTCATTTTACGATTTGCTTATACATTTTACGAATTGATTTACGATTTGCTTATTCATTTTACGACTTGATTTACAATTTCTTACATGTTTGCACTGCTGTGCATGTCTTTATTTTATTATGTTTTGTTTGTTTCATTTATGATGTACTTATCCCCCCTTAGGTAATGTCCTTCCCAGAAGGACCGTTAAGATATTTCAATAAATAAATAAATAAATAAATTCCTCAGAGGTGCACTCGACACAAAAATAATTCGCATGATCAAATGTCAAGCGTCGAAACAGCACCGAGATAAAGGGCTCGAGTCAGATAAACCCTAGACATAGCACCACATCGTCGAATCGGAATAGCCGCAAAGATTACAATGAAAATGTACGTCAATACGGAGAAACGCACAGCGTCGTCACACCGCATTGATAACATATCCTTTTGTATCATCCCTCAGTGTATGCTCGGCTAGCCAAGACAAGAAGGTTTAGCTGATTCTTTTTTTTTTATTCAGAATTTGAATTTGAATGGGAACTCAGAAAGTTGCTGTAAGCTAAATAAAGTAAGTGACAAAGATCAACTACATGGTCTATACTACACATACTTGTGGATGATGACTCTCTTTTTTCGTATAAATTAACCAAGGCTATCAAGAGTAAGAGGATTACTGACTAAAAATACGCATAAAAACACAGAAGGAATATCGCGATGCTTTCCCAATATTTTTGTATTTATTTTCGTTTGCCAAGTTGCGCATTCTTCTAGAAGGCAATCTACCAACCGGTATTGCCAATTTAAAGGTTGTCCTGCTAAATCTAGCTTTTTTTCAGTTCTAGTGAAACTGCTGTGTGGTAGTTAGCGGGATTTGTAAGCAAGTTTCCGATTATGCTGGAGGTTATTTTGTTTTTGTTTTATCTGAAATGGTTTTAAGTTTACATTTAACAATCGTAAACAAATCGTAAATTCTGTTGCAAAACTCAAGGGGTCATTTTCTTTTTCTTTGATTGAGCAACGTTATTTTCAGTGAGAATAACGCTTGCGACGTCACTCGATATCCCGTTGGCGAACGTTAATACATGCAATGAACACATCTTCTTTGAACTGAATTGTGAGTTAATGTCTTCAATCATTTTCCAGTGTGCCAATTGACATAGGCCAAGTTAATTATGCACAAATATTCAGAAAACAAAATCAGGGGTATGGTATTCTAAATTTTGAGGCTCTAATAGTTACTGAAACTTCCAAGCGGCGTCGGACGCGCCAAATACCTCTACTGGAGAACATAACTTTTTGCGAAAACCTGGTAATTTGTTGAACTGTCACCGAATATTACACAAAAGCTCGGACCTACGAAAATGTACGTCGGCAAGTATGGCAAACTCATGCCTGGGTCGGCTTGCTAGTATCGGCGTCTTAGCTTAGTCGGTGCTAAAGAAAGCCTGCCAAGCCTGGAAAGCGCGAGCGCTTGAGAATCTACTTCACGTGCCACTCCGCTGAAGACCTAGCTTGACTCGGCGGTGCTTCCCTTAACACAGTCTTAGCTAAGACGCTGATTCTAGCAAGTCGGTCCCGGTATCACCTAGAAACCGTAAAGCCGAGGTCACTCTGCTTATAAATCCTAAACATGACAGTCAGCAAATAGATTCGAACGCACGAAATGGCCATTTGTCCTCAAAGCTAATGGGAGCTTACACGGAATGTCGATGCCACAACAGACCCTCTTCAGAAGACAGCGCCATCTATCAGCTACTGAGCTAATTATCCTCGTCACCCATTCTTCGGGCACGTATTGTGAGCTTGTACTCTACAGGAGGGCCGCGTCTCCGTTCGGCCAGCACTCGAGTCCTATCACAGGCATCGTGCCCAAGAAATGGCGATCACCAATATTGCTTGACGGGCTTTTGAAAAAGGCTTATCGGAAGCATCTTTCAGTTCAGCATGCGTCCAAGCGAGAGCTCGTGCGGCTCTATATTGCGCCTCCCTCCAGGTAAACTGCAAAGGAGGCTAGAAGCGCGAACGCGTCACATTGGCTGGTGCCAATGTTACTATAACAACTCGGTTGGGAGACTGTCATAGAGCCTGCTCTGAAAAAGTGGTACCAATTCGAGCTCGAGAGCCAAGCCAGAGAGCCAAGCGTGGCGATCGTAACGCCGCCGTTTCTCCCGCAGCGGCCACTCAGGGAACTGCACCGCTGCTTGTATTGGTTCGGCAGTATCGCATTTGAGACCGTCCACTGTGACTGTTTTATTTTGGCTTTACTTGGCCATTTTGGCATTTTGGCGCGGAAACATATACGGCACCCCCGTCTCCCGAACGGGACGTGTTCCGAATTACTACCGAAATTAGGGTGCACCAAGGTCGGGACGCGCCACGTCAAATTACTGGTGAGACATGGTTGTAGAAAAACAATAATAATTGTGCAACAAAACCTTGTAAACTGAAGATTATAAAAAAGACCACCGCCTTGTCATTCTATACTAATCTCCAATAAAACTTCCTACAAAAAGAGCTTTTTCCGCTTGTTTTCACGCAAAAGCACGCTTTCTAAAAGCTCATGGTGACCACACAGTAAAGAAAAAGATTGAGCCGCCATCTTGGCGACTCAAAATTTGGAGTCTCGGTACTATGGGAACATTCAGTGACTGTAGCAGTAGCCATATAAAGCAACTCATGTTTCACTATTCAGTATTCAGCTGCACCGGAACCCTTTTGGATCAGGGCGGCCGCTCCCGAAGGAGCGTCACTGGAGCTGTTAAAGAAATAGTAAAAGTACAAAAAACTGACAATGTCGCGTCACACAGAAACACGCACTTCGCATCCCATGAGGGGGAGGAGAGAAAGTTCGAGCTTGTCCTTGGTCCAGTGTCCAGTCACACCTGCCCTGTCTGTGTTCTGACTCAACTGGTCGCTCAAGGATGGCGCTGTGATTGTATTGAGCTCGGTCTCGGTGGACGCCAGCGGCCCTGGTTTGAAGGGTTAGTTTACAACTTAGGGTTTTAGTAACAATGGCTGGTGCTCTTGCCTTCGCGAACGTTCATACGTCCGAGACGGTAACAGAATCTAAGGACGCTTTAAACACGCGCCACAGTAAAGCCGCCTTTGACGGCCTTCTCTTGGCTTACCGAGATACCGCGCCACTGAAACGGGCGTTGACGAGTCTCCAGAAAGGGCAATACTGGGGGGGGAGGACACAATCGAATATAAAATTGCAATAACCTGACCTGCTATATAGTAATGATGAAGTGAAGTAAGAGGAATAACAGGAAATCAAAACTTTATAGCGACGCCCATCCAGAGCTGCTTGACAGCGTCTACATTGGTGCGAAGTACCGAATGAATTTATTTATTCACATTATGCTATTTACGTACGATCGCCTAATTCAGTGCTCCAGAAAGAATATTTGAGATGTTGTACTTAAAGGGCGATTTTTCATGATCCTTCCCGCCGTTCTTGCAACGAGGATGCAACTACCCTCCTCTGTGGGGTTCCGAATGCTGTAGAAGGTTACGTAGAACGCTGTACGATGGCGAAAACGATCTACGAAAACTTTCTAATAACTCAGATGTATGACCGCTAAGATTGCATGCAGAAAGTTATGGCATTGATTACCTTCAGGTTAACGCTGACGGTTCGGTCAAACATATCTTCGCTTGTATCGGTAATCGAAGTGAATGTTGCTCCAGTACCAGCGCAGTTCACCATAATGCTAGCTGCCTTGCCGTAGACTTCTTGGATGGCGGCAAATGTAGACTGCACCGACGACGAGTCCACAACATCCACGTGCATCGCAACGTGTTTCTGAAGATCGTTCACCGCTGAAAATAATCCACAGTTTGTTTTGTATAACGCTGCCAGTGACTAGAGGAAACTGGTTGAAACAGCTCCAAAACAAAACATATTTTCAAATAGACAAACATTCCTAAGTGGTCTGAGCTTCTTCACTAATTTAGAGACGCTAATAAGGGCATAAAAAATGTGCTGTTCAAACCAGAATCCAAAGAGTTTTCTATTTTTTTTTAAGTAAGTTAAGTACACATATAAATATATGTATAAGATTATTAAGATTTTTATACCTTACTAAAATTGGAATAGTAAGTGCAAAACCAAATCGATGAAGATAAAGTTTGCTTCAATTATTTTGTAATAGAAACCCTCCCAAAAGGCTTGTTTATAAACGCAGTTCTTCATATAAGTATGGAACTTCCAAACTTGAGCTATTGGAACTTAACCCTGTAAAAGAGACTGCTTAAGCTAATTGCAAGTAGACAAAACAAATATTATGCTGAATATTAAAACCAAAAAAGGATTTAAAATGCCTATTAGTAGATCGCAGCTTTCTATAATTACTTCTGTCTCTTCGCTAAAGCATACAGTGAGCAACATTGTTTACACGTTACTATTTTTCAGCGCTGGAGGTAGAACAACAAACCTGGAAGACCGCTCACCACGGCCTGGGCAGCAGCCATATTGATGTCAGCGACGATCACCTGAGCTCCTTTCTCGGCTAATGCATGGCAAATCGCTTCGCCAATAACGCCTCCGCCTCCGGTCACCATGGCCACGTGACCGCACAGGGGACTCCCCTGGGATCTAGCCATTTCGTCGGGGTTTTCGATCTCCACTTCCGCGAGGCGTATGGTGACCGAGGTGTGGCGAATAGTCGAATGGGTCCGTATTTTTATAGGAGAAGTATCAGGCAGAAGGGGGGGGGGGGGGGGGGAGGAGGGCAATATAAAATGAAACACAATAGAAGTACAATTTAAAAGAGAAACACCCGGTAGTAACTGAGCCAATAAAAATCACCTGCGTCATTCAGTTGAATTGGTTTTTACGGAGGACGGCCTCTGTTCTTGGAAAGGCGTTGATTGCTTTAGAAAGAGTACGGACTGACATTTTCGATGTATGAACTTTGAGACGGACACGTGGAACCTTTTTACGCAGTTCATATGAGCTCCTTATCTCACACGGGCTAAGTATAAGGGAATATTTGAGTAGATACAGCGTCCTGATGATCTTTTATGTTGAAACTGAACAATATATCTAGTGTCTGATTATCCACCAAGGCAACATATTTTACAGTATCGAGTTCCTCACCTGTGGTGATCGTAAAGAAAAAAAACTATAGATATGCGCTTTCCGATGGCACATTTATTGTTCTCTAGTTTAATTATTAATGTTGGTGAAACACTGCCGCACAGCCTACTTTGTGTTCTAACCAGACGTTATAAAAAACTCTTCTGGCACCTAAAATTATTGTGCGTCTACATTCCCGCAAAGCACTCCGAAGAAACAGTCGCTGCCCTTACGAAGGGAACTTGGAGACTGGGGAGGCTCAAGATACATTCCAATCTGAAAAACAAACTGCACTATCCCGCAGAGTACGACGCCTCGCGTGTTTATGCCGTGCTAAATGCAAAGGCTGTTTTTTTTATTTGCTTTTTTTTTGTCTCGTCATTCGCACAGACACTTTTGTATGTGCCTGCTGTTTACTTTAATAATATTATTATTATTTATTTTTCTGTGCCCAAAAAAAAACATGATGTATTTACTTTGATAACCGAAGGGTAAATTAAAAACACAACAAACAAATATGCGGAACAAGATAGAAAAAAAAACACTAATAAATTCTAAACAAGCACAAAGCTCATAGAGTAGTAACAAGCCCCTCCAACTTTCTTCCGAAAAAGATTGAAGTCGCGAAACATATCGATACTTCAATAATCCAAGCGAGTGAAAGGGGATTGTATGCCTTTCTCAATCGCCTAAAACCAAAGCCCTATCAATTACTATAGCGCTTGTCCTGTACACTTCATGTCCGTGTCTTTTTTGCTCTATTTTATGTTTAATCTATTACTCCGTTTACTCTTTTATACGAGAAATTTAAATCATGCTCTACTCTCGTATCTGACAAAGACCTCAAGTCCTTTCAAAGAAGTACTTTTACTCTATATACACCTAAGAAAACTGGGCCTTAAGGGAAAGTGTGCATGCATAATTCACAGCAATTTAAGCTCAGCTTGAACACTGAACCGGAAAAATCCTTCGCGTGAAATCGGCGCCTGCCATTTCACGCCCCAAAACCATGCGTAATGCTTAATGCACAACAAAATATATTTTCATTTTTTTTTTTTATGAAAGGTTATTCTAAGTACAGTCATTATCTGAAAGTCCAGATGAGAAGAGTCCTGACAGATGCTGAACAAATAAATAGCAGAAAATATGGATAACCTCTGGTATATTAAAGATATCAAAATATCAGACAGCGCATGTTCCGGAGTAAATACATAATGGTAACTCTCCCAATAGCGGATGTATCAAAGCATGCAGTATAAGCGAGCAGTTTCAAGCTGCAGCTGGAAACCGCTTGCTTATACACGTGCCCCATGGGGCACGTGTCAGCGGTGAATAATCTCAACAAAAGCTTTGCGTGCGCTTCGAGGCTGCGCAACCGTGTGAGCGATGAAATTTGGAGAGAAACACGTTCCGTCAGGACAGCCCTTTGCCTGACAAAGTGATAGCGTTCATAAAATGGGAGGCCCAGCCTCACGGTTTAATGTTTTCTTTATAAAAGTGATGCAAGCGATTCTATAGTCACAGACGTGGAGAGAAAGCCAAAGAGAAGCTTCAGTAGTGCGGCCTCCAGCGCCGACATGTACAAGTTATTAAAAAAAAGTAAATATGTTAAGTTACTAAATATTGGCCTTAAACGTAATTCCAGCAGAGTGAAATTACTGAAATAGAAAGTAATTGAGCAAATCAATAACTACCTTCCAAAGTATCACATTACTCTAGAAGGTACTATGGCCGATCACCATATTGAAACTATACTTCGCAGGACTACATGACTCAACACATTTTTATTTTCCTGCTATGTTCTATGTGATGGAGAAAAGCACCTCAACACATAAATTTAAAAAAGCGGAACAGCCTGAACACTCGCGTTGTGACTCTTGTCAGCGGTATCATTGAATATCCCAGTTACAGTATTGAAATATTAACCACATTTAAAAGAGTTCGACGGCCATCATTGCTGGATATTTCACGTATTAAGCAATGGTAACTTAAAGGGGCCCTGCAATCATATTTAAGCGTCTACCTTTTTTGCGGTTTCCACGTCTCTTGAAGTTCGGGCAAGCCAGCGGGCACGGAGAGAGTAACTAAATATCAGTGCGCCATATTTTAACCGGACGACGCGGAAACCTCCTCCACCGACGAGGGCGACCCGCGGTACCGAAAGCGCGCAAAATGGGACGTCTTTGGTCCTTGGCTTACAACTGGTCAGAGCCGCTAAAAGCTTCTTTTTAGTCGAAATACAAAATATAAGTGGCGCGAACCGTTTCAATTACCTATAGAAGTAGTTTTTGTTCACTATTTTAGATGAGAAAAGAAACAAATGCAGTTTATAAAGTACGAAAACAAGAAATGACCCGTCGACATACCCGCCACCAAGCGGTGGAAAAGGCGGCGCATACTAGAAAGAAGTAGTGGGATCAGGCGCCGACACGGAAAAATCCCGGATGTACGCGGCAGCGCTGCGGTCGTATGGGCACCAGAGCCGTTTATTGAGGCTGTGTTCCAAAATTTACTCGATCCGACTCCGGAGTAAAAGTTTCGTACCGTGGCGTTCCAAAACTTACTCGAGCTTACTCGATGACGTCAGAACTCGCGTTCCAGAAGCAGGTTGTTTACTCCGGAGTAATTACTCGCGCTACCCACCTCGATCGGGGGGTAAAGTCGGATCAAATCGAGTAAATACGTCACGTGATCTGTTCGTCGTCTGCTTTCTGCGCCGACAGCCGTCAAAGATCGCTTGCACCGTTGGTTTTGGTGGCGGACGTTCGAAATTACAAAGAATTAGGTGCAGCATGTGTGGTTATTGCGATTTGCTGTTGTCAACGCAGGAATTGACTGCATTACATCCAGACCGTCCACCTTCCCCGGGAACGTGTACTTGTTATTATCTGAGTGCGAGCGTAAATAAGAGCTTCTCCGCATCCTCGCCCTCAGCGTTGGGGGAATGCCGTAATCTCACGTTCAAGGCCGAAAATGTTTGAACTCGGTATATGATAATGTAATATTTTTGTTTCCTCCAGAGTGTGTGTAATGAGAGGATAACGTTTGTAAAGCAGTGAAGGCTTCGAAAATTTCACTGTAATCACATTCGCGTCAAAGCGAACGTGAGTTTTATATCATTCTGGAGAAAACACCCTCGCGCTGTACCGCTACACCGTGTGGAATATATTTCTGCAAAACATGATCGGTGCAAATTACAATGCGTGGAATATATGCGTTTAGGGCACCGTGACTAGAATTGCAGCGATCGCGCTGATTAATAAAAACACATTTTTTTTATGTCTAGCTGTAAGGAGTAAGTAATTTTGATCTCAATATACAGCTCAAAACGAAGGTGAGTAAAAGGAGCTGGTGGATCCACCTCAAAATACACCGCGTCGTCATTAACATTACCGTTCTTCGGGTGCTTTCTCCATGATCAAAAGGATCGTCTGCTATTTTCTGCCATCGCTGCTGTGTTTTCTCTTTGCCGTCGCCCAAGACGAAGCCAATCCGCGTAGTATCCAGGTGATTATCCTGGCCGTTCCAAAATCGAGTCGCGGATCGTTTACTCGCGATGTCACGTGGTATTACCCGCTGACGTAGAAGGCAGGTTACTCGGGTAAGATTTGGAACATAGCCTGAGAGAGTTTGGCCATACATTGGTTTGAATAGGCGGGCACCTCGGGGCCAACCACAGGCCGCAAAACAGCCCCTAGCGGTGGTCGTGTGCTCTAAGTTTGTGACACGACTAATTTGAGCCGTTTTAGCGTCGCTAGAGTGAAAAGGTTTAGCTCTCGGTGACTGAAAACTTTGTGCATGTGAGGTTTTAGTCACGCCAATATTCGAGTGTAGAATAAACGAACGTGCGTTCCAAACCAGGGCCGACTTGCTAGAAACAGCGTCTCAGCCGAGGCGGGGAAAGAAAGCGCTGCCAAAGCCAGCGCACGAGCCGAGCGGGACTCCGCGTCTCAAGACGCTCGCGCGCCCCACTACTGTTTTTTTTTTTTGTTTTTTTTTTTCTTCTTTCAGCCAGCCTCAGCTTAGACGCTGTTCTAGCAAGCCGGCCCAGAGCGAACTGTCATTTATATTCCATCTGCACAACCATCAGCAGCGCAGACAAAGGCATGGGCACGAGCGCGTGGCTTTGGAAAGTGCCTCCTATGCACGAGTTCTAGTACAAACAAAAGCGTTTTGCTGTGGTAGGCCCGCGCGCCTGTGCCTTTGTCTTTAGTGCAGACATTTGTGAGATGGAGTAGAGAGGCCGAGATTGAACGCTTCTATTGCACGATTTAAATGCCGTTTGCAATATTGTGACGTCGCGGTCTCCTGATTGGTCGACGCTGTGTCACAAATTTAGTTTACGCTCTGAGCGCGGGGGGAATATTCGGCGCTGCCGGCGGCCTTTGCTCCGCCTATTGGCCAAACTCTCCCAATACACGGCTCTGATGGGCACGAGGATCCGACCGGCTCCGAGCCTTCCGAAGGCCTTCGGCGAGAGGCTTGTCTTGCGGTTTGGCCGTTTCGCGGTATGGCAGCGCAAAGTGGCTCC